CCCTTTGACTCCAGAACACAGCATAATATTAGCAGGTTAAGCTATACTATCACCCTTGACAAAAAATTGTTCTACGCACATATAAGAGGGGTCACGAAGGGATTTCCGAGGTAAGAAACAGGACAGAAAATAAAAGACCACAACCATTGAGCTGAGCCAGACAAATGCAGGACATTTTTGCGAGCAGGGAGGGACCCATTCTAGTTAACCCTCACCTGCGCGCATGCGCAGCGAGGGTTATTGCAGTCGGTCTGTCTGTGTGTGTGTGTCCGTCCACCGTTTTTCTCGGTATATAACCGCGGCAACTCTGAACGTGGAACGTGGACATATTATCAAGTAGGAGACATGCATGGTAAACTAAGATTCTGGAGCTGAGAAGGCCGGAGAAGCTGGCAAAACGGACGGCTGCCGAGAGTGTGGGTCAAATAGAGATCGCGGACGATCGCTGTATAATCTTAGATGCTAGATGATTCACGCGCAGTCGTGGAGAAGATTTGCTGGTCTGCCTGTATTGATGGTTTCAAAGAAAGAATAAGCTGAAATTATTAAAGGAAGAGCAGTCTCTGATCTTCTCTGAGACAGCCAACTATTGAACCTCCATTGGCGAGGGTTATGCACTTTCATTGTATTTGTAGCTGGTGTAACAGCATCTCGCAGTGTTGCCAGGTCTACTGATTTATCCAAAATCTATATACGGATTTTGGGTCCAAACAAACTGTATAATGTGTGCATATTATATATACTAGGACTTAGGGCATTGTAGGTAGCTAATCTATGGGCTCAAGAGACAGCTGATGCTAGATGCCTCTATCTTCAGGTGCCAGGTTGACTAACTTTGACAATCCCCAAGCTGATGTTCCTCGTGCTTATCGCATGCTGGTGGAGGCCTCTCTTGTGTGTCCCGAGTTCTGTTTGTTGCCAGTGAATTGCTGAATGGCGTTGCACTCTCGCTTGTGGTGATGTAATACAGAGCCCATTGAGCTCATACTCACTTCAAAACGAGTCTCTCACTTCCTAATTTGAATTGCACATTATCAAATTGTACCACTTCGAAAGCTGCTCGCTTCAAATTGTACCACTATCGATCCAGCAGTCTTAGTTTTCAGTAAGCCACTCAAATTGTTGAACGTCACCTAAAGCTTGTGACCACAAAGAACAAAGGTTCATGCATGCCATGTATTCGCGAGCGTATCCAATGATCACAAGTCCACTGAATCACAGACCCTTTCCTTCCCTCTAGCAAGACTAACGCGGCCGATTGACACTGGCGATCACTACCTTGAACCAGACGGCAGGCTCTATGTTACAGTCAGGTAGAGGTACTCCACCTATGACGGGAACGCTGCCGTCCTGCAGCGAAATCTCTACGCATTTCCACGAGCTCTGGAGCCCCACCATTAGATGCATCTTCAGCGTTTCCACACCGGCGTCTACGAGCCACGCCTCTTTCTATGAGCCACGCCTATTTAGCGCCTCGCGCCGTGTTCAACGAGCCACACCCTATCATATCTCGATCGCCCTAACGCGGACTGTTCGGGCAGCGCAATAATATCCACCATGGGTTCTCTACGCAATATTCTTCTTCTTTTCACATTGCTGAGGGTGTATTGCTGCAACGCAATAGCGCTGCTAGTGTTCCCAGAGGGAGAGGTGCACAGTATTCTCTATACAGCACCTGATGAAGACCACTTTGGGATCAACTGGGGAACTGGTGATGGAGGTTTTTTTGACAATGATGGCACATTTACTGTGGGAGATGAAGAGCCAGCTACCAATAGAATGAAGGGGAGAAGAGTAATATTCACTGCATCACCAGTAGTTAATGGAACAACTCTGAGATGTGTTGTCGTCAACTTTCGTCAACTTAGTGACTCCCCTGAACCACTTGGTTTCACCATCATCATTCAAGGTTTGTTAATCAACCTATTATAATTATTATTGTGGTATTAGAAACACTTAACAGGCACCCTGGCGGCTCCTGGTGTGGACAATACAATCAGGGAAGATGGGTCCATACTGTTCACCTGGAGTCCTCCGTTCTCTCACAACATCACTGATGTGGAGCCAGACATCTCCCGCTATCTAGTGACCATTATCAACATGGAGGACCATCATTCTATGCTCACTGTCAACACAACAGACACTGAGTACCTCCTCCAGTCACAAGACTGCCAGCTATCTGACTACCAAGTGGAGATAGCAGCAGTCAATGTTGTTGGTGTGGGAGACAAATATACCAGTCCTCCACTGACTCTGGATGGTATGGCAATATATTCTCTTTGTACTATGTCATGAACTTCATTATTGTTGCACAGTACTTGATTTTTCAGACGGATTTTCTTTTATTCTTGGTGAAAATCCAGTAATCAGCTTTCAGGTATAACAGTGCAAAAAGAGAATGTATGTTACTTTGAGTGCTTACAGGTCTGTGCAAGCTACCAAGTCACTTTGGAATATAAATTTAAACCAACTTGTACAAAGGAAGACATTCACTTGATGGCTAATGTTGCTGGTGATGGACTAAAAACCCTAAACATTTCCTTACCGAATGTCAAATTTAATGAACGTTATAAAGTAACTGTGGGAGTCAATGGAACTGATGTTTTCATGTACGGCCAAAGTTTTAGTAAGTGTTCTGATACAAATTCGACATGAGAATGTGTCATTGTTATGGAATGTGAAGTGACACACAATATTGTAGTAAGCTAATTAAGCACAAATGGGTGTGGATAGACTAGGTGTTTTGTTTGTCGATATAGGTTTTATGTATACTGCAGGTACATTTGATGTCCAGGATGTGGAGATAGAACAGAAGAGCAGAGGTCATGAGATAGCATGTTACTTTGCTCCTGGGTCACAGACCAAGGGTTGTAGAATAGTTATAATCCAAGAGGGAAGAGGTGGAGACTGTGAATTAAACACAACTGCTACAAGACTGGAGGGAGCTGGAGATGCAGAGTGAATGTGGAGCTACCAGCAGGAGAGTATTCAGTGGCAGTCTATGATGATGAGGAGGTGAAGACTGTAGGTCAAGAGAATCCTGCTACACCACTACTCTATCAGTCTCTGGTACATCGGACTTTGGTAAAGACCCTGTCGACACAATATCAACATAGTTTAAATATAGTGCTGTTGTGTAAATGCAGGTTGTATAGATCTATCAACAGTAGCAGAAAAACAAGGCAAGTTTATTATACTACCATTCTTTATTAAGTTACCACTTCTCCCAACAGGTGACAGCAGTGACAGTTTATCTCTGGTGATAGCTGTTCCACTGAGTGTGTTTTGTGTGACCATCACCACCCTTTCCATAACTATAATGGTGATATTTCGTCTACAGACGAAGGTGGGTTTTTAAGGTCAAGACTATCAATCACCTTATGGCATGGTGTGTTTTTACGACTCTGTTTCCTCCCCAAAGGTTCTCAATGACAACCTTTCTCACTGTTTTCTTTTCTCAGAGGAGTGAGGAACAAACAGCAGCAGCAAACACCACAATTCACTATGGACAACAACCCAGTGTATGTGGTTCACAAACACCCCCAGTCTGTGTCTCTCACAGAACAACAACAACAACAACAACAACAGCAGCAGCAGCAGGAGTCAGAGTTTGATATGGACCACAACCCTCTGTACATGCTCCATACCAGGCCTCAGCACAAGAACAATCCCAGTGGAGACCATGAATATGAAACTGTTCAGCCATTACCTGTGACGTCAGTTTCATGTGATGCCATGTAGTTATGACTGTGACATTAATTACCATTATGTTGTGTACGTAGCTATAAAAGAAGGGTGTACAAGGCCCAAGGAGAGTTGCTTGCTATCACAAGAGAATTGAACTGACTGTAGCTTATACATGAACAACGAGGGTGTGCAGGGAAAAGAGACGGCAGGGACGTCAGTTACATATAACATGTACATGTATTATGCAATGTGTGGGATACTGAAAATGGCATACAAGGTTATATAGGAAGTGTTTGCAGAATAAACTACATTCTATCAGTTTTCCCCTTTTCCTCTCTGAGGGTGGGGTCTGGGCACGAGACTGCCATGCCAAGAGTGGACAATTTGAAGTGAGCAGAGGGGGAAGGAAAGGGTCTGTGATTCAGTGGACTTGTGATCATTGGGATACGCTCGCGAATACATGGCATGCGTGGACCTTTGTTCTTTGTGGTCACAAGCTTTAGGTGACATTCAACAATTATTTTGAGTGGCTTACTGAAAACTAAGACTGCTGGATCGATAGTGGTACAATTTTGAAGCGAGCAGCTTTCGAAGTGGTACAATTTGATAATTCAAATTAGGAAGTGAGAGACTCGTTTTGAAGTGAGTATGAGCTCAATGGGCTCTGTATTACATCACCACAAGCAAGAGAGTAACGCCATTCAGCAATTCACTGGCAACAAACAGAACTCGGGACGGCGTGCAACCAAACATTGCACACAAGAGAGGCCTCAGCAGCCCAGCATGCGACGAGCACGAGAACATCAGCTTGGGGACTGTCAACTGCATGGTAGCTGAAGATAGAGGCATCTAGCTTGACATCAGTTGTCTCTTGAGCCCATTGATTACCTACACCCTCATCTGTATTGCAATTATTCCTGATTGGTTTCTAAATGTGGATACTGTTACACAGCTACACATACTACTAGAATGCCCACAATAGGGTCCCTGCCGCTCGCAAAAATGCCCTACATTTGTCTGGTCAGCCTCAATTGGTTGTTTTTGTTGGGTTTTTTAAGTTCCTGTTTCTTAACCTCGAAAATATACCTTCGTACCCTCTTATATGTGCGTAAACAATTTTTCAATGGGTGATAAACACTGGATAATAATTATGTTGTGTAACTGGAGACAAATGGGAAGAAGAGAGCAAAGTTGGTGACGAAACTACATCGCATCACTTCTTAGTTCAGTACCAGATGTCAAGGTAATGGCTGAACAGTTTCATATTCATGGTCTCCACTGGGATTGTTCTTGTGCTGAGGCCTGGTATGGAGCATGTACAGAGGGTTGTGGTCCATATCAAACTCTGACTCCTGCTGCTGTTGTTGTTGTTCTGTGAGAGACACAGACTGGGGGTGTTTGTGGACCATATACACTGGGTTATGGTCCATAGTGAATTGGTTATTCCTCACACCTCTAAAGACAGAAAAAATAGTGAAAGGAATGCCAAAGTTTTTATTAAAAGTTTGGGAGAAAAGGAGTTCTAAACTGAGATGATAGACACCGACCTCACAACATGACAGTATACCCCTGCTGCAAGACAATTGCCCATCACTCACCTTGCTGATACACTTTCAGCAGCTGTTTCAACTACAGACAATAGGAACTACATCGCATCACTTCTTAGTTTATTACCAGATGTCAAGTAATGGCTCAACAGTTTCATATTCATGGTCTCCACTGGGATTGTTCTTGTGCTGAGGCCTGGTATGGAGCATGTACAGAGGGTTGTGGTCCATATCAAACTCTGACTCCTGCTGCTGCTGTTGTTGTTGTTGTTGTTGTTGTTCTGTGAGAGACCCAGACTGGGGGTGTTTGTGAACCACATACACTGGGTTATTGTCCATAGTGAATTGGTTATTCCTCACGCCTCTAAAGACAAAAAATAGTGAAAGGAATGCCAAAGTTTGCTATTAAAGTTTGGGAGAAAAGGAGTTCTAAACTGAGATGATAGACACCGACCTCCCAACATGACAGTATACCCCTGCTGCAAGACAATTGCCCATCACTCACCTTGCTGATACACTTTCAGCAGCTGTTTTCCTACCTACAGAACATATGCATTTTTAATGTGCAGAGTGAATGTGGCTATAGTACCTATGCATTTTCTTGTAAAGATCAACACCACAAGTGAAGTTACTGCAATGAGAGCCACCATACTCAATGTCCCAACCACCAGTGCAACTACTAGTTCTGAAGATGGTGCAAAAGAAATGAGAGTTAGCTCAGGTAACCTGTATGTGCATTACATAGCTAGGTAAATACTCATGGGCCTCAGTAGTACGTTTTTCACCGAAGAACAATATTCAGAGATAATGTTTATTGGGCCATTAGGCCTAAATCTAATTAGAAATTTTAAAGTGGTGTCACTTACCCTCCTCCTACACGGAGAACGCAAAGAATGTTGTTCTAACAACAAGTATAATGCGATGAAGCGTGAAATAAACTGTCCCTAAGAATGAACATACCATTTTCACTGTCACCTGTTGGGTCTGCTGATGGCTCAAGATCTGATGCCTTCGGAAAACAGCCTACATTTGTTCAAAAAAAAACCAGGACATAATGCATACCAAAATTGGCTAACATTAAATTATATATACCCATGTTGTGTAAGTCTGGGGAAGTTGAAGATACCAATGTGTGGTATGCAGGGTTCTCTTGACCCATAGAGTCATCGTCATCATCATAGACCAGTAGTGAATACTCTCCTGCTGGTAGTGTTGCCTTTATCACAGCTTCTCCAACCCCCTCCAGTCTTTGTGCATTGCATTCTTCCCTTCCTCCCCCTGATTGTTGGTCAGGACTATCCTACAACCTCTGGCCTCTGACCCACTAGCAAAGTAGCATGTTATCTCGTATTCAGTGTTTGTCAGTCTGACTTCCACATTCTGGACGTCAAATGTACCTGTAAGCAGATTATCATACAGTGCAGCTGAGCTTGCAGGATGATGAAAGCAAGAAAAATCCCTCAATACACACAAGTGCAACAAACAGGAAATTGTATCATAGGGGAGTTTCCCCCTTTTACAAACAAAGATTATTCATACTTACTCAAGCTCAGCTTAAATGTGGAGGTTCCATCCACTGTCAGAGTGACATCATACAGTTCATTCAATTGAATATCGCCTGACTGGAGAGTCAAAGTCGGCTGGAACTGTTGACTTGTAACTGAAATGCTGATCAGTTGTTGGGTAAAGGTTGGCATGAGATCGAAGTCAAAGCTTGTCTCCTTGTTACAGTTTCCTCTAAACTGCAACTGGATCATGAGCCAACAGTTAGTTGTGCATAATAATACCTAGTTAGCTATACCTGGAAGGATATTTCAGGAGTGTTTCCATCTATAATGACTGTGGCAGTGTTAGACACTGTCACCACTGTGTAAAACACTGAAAGTTATAAGCAGCCACAATAATAAGATGCTAGTTCATACCATCCAGAGTCAGTGGAGGACTGGTATATTTGTCTCCCACACCAACAACATTGACTGCTGCTATCTCCACTTGGTAGTCAGATAGCTGGCAGTCTTGTGACTGGAGGAGGTACTCAGTGTCTGTTGTGTTGACAGTGAGCACAGAGTGATGGTCCTCCATGTTGATAATGGTCACTAGATAGTGGGAGATGTCTGGCTCCACATCAGTGATATTGTGAGAGAATGGAGGACTCCAGCTGAACAGTATGGACCCATCTCTCACATGGTAATCCACATTAGGAGCAGAGAGGTACCTACATGCAGTATCAATAAGTGAGTATAGCTATAATATTATCACAGCACGTAAAAACCTTGGATGATGATGGTGAACTCCAGTGGTTCAGGGGAGTCACTAGGTAGATCAAAGTTGACGACAACGCATCTCAGAATTGTTCCATTAACTTCTGGTGATGCAGTGAACATTAATCTTCTTCCCTTTGTCCCATTGGTAACTGGCTCTTCATCTCCCACAGTAAATGTGCCTTCATTTTCAAAAACTCCTCCATCAGCAGTTCCCAGTTGATCTCAAAGTGGTCTTCATCAGGTGCTGTACAGAGAATACTGTGTACCTCTCCCTCTGGGAACACTAGCAGCTCTCCTGCGATGCAGCTATACACCCTCAGCAATGTGAAAAGAAGAATGATTTTGTGTAGAGAACCCATGATTGCGCTGCCCGTATCCGCGTGAGGGCGATCGAGGGTGTGGCTTGTTGAACATGGAAGGTCGAGGGCGGGCGTCTACGCGAAATAGGCGTGGCTCGTAGACGCCTGTGTGGAAACCCCCCTGAAGATGCATCTAATGGTGGGGCTCCAGAGCTCGTGGAAATGCGTAGAGATTTCGCTGCAGGACGGCAGCGTCCCCGTCATAGGCGGAGTACCTCTACCTGACTGTAACATAGAGCCTGCCGTCTGGTTCAAGGTAGTGATCACCAGTGTCAATAGCTAGCAAATGCCGTGATAGTCTTGCGTGGTTTTTTCCCTTGTCATTAAAGAGGGGTTCCTCTCTATCAGGCTCTGGTGTTGGACAGCGTTTGTATCGACTGCTCGGATCACGTCATCTCGTGGGCAGTGGTCAGCCCTAGCAGCAGTCTTTCTCATCACCAATCAACCCCCACCACCTCCTCCCCTGATCACACTCTGATGGCTCCTCACGAAGATGGCGAGCCGTCATGTCCCGACAACCTCCACGACCTTTTTGAAGTGGCAGAGACCCTCTTCAGAGCCTCTCCCCTCTGTTCTCCCTCCCATCACCACTACCCGTCCTCACACCCTCCCTCACCTCACCGCGAGGACTGGGAGCACCAGATGTGGCTGAGATTTCTCCACACTCTACTCCTGCCACTCCTTACACTCCAGAGGGAGGACCTACCTTCTCTCCAGCTCTCTCTGGATAACTACTGCAACCATACCATCTCTTCTTTGGACTCCAACATTGCCCAGAGCACTGCTCTCTCACAACAGGTTATTAGCCAGCCAATTACACAAGTAGGTGTAATGTAAATGAGTAAGCCAGCTGGTACGAGTGTCTTCACTGGGTTACATTAATACGCTCACCTCACACCTGGTAGACTGAGATAAAGATGAAGAGTGCGTAGTCTGAGGGAAAGGAAGAAAGGTGGAAAGAAAGAAAGAAAAATCTGCTTTGCCAGGGGGATTCTAACCCACTAGCTCTCATTTCCCTAGCACTACAACTAGCTATGCCGGAAATGAGCTCTTATCCAACACGAGAGAGTGCTCTGACTCATAAGTTATGGTCACTGTTAATGGATTTAACAGTGACCTTTTAGCTAGAGCAGATAGGCTTAGTCCAAAGTGTTTGTTTGTGTGTGTTTGTTAGCTTCACAAAAGTAAGGCAAAATCAACAATGTGTGTAGGTATGTACAGTACATATCACTACTGTGTTTAGCCTTTGAAGTGTGCATCACACACTGTACAACAAAGAGTTCCCCACTTCCAAATTACACTGCATATCCCCACTTCAAATTTGGTAGTGGGGAATTTGGAAGCAGTGGAACTTTGAAGTGTGTATATCATGAGTGAGCACAGCCCCGATGGGTTGCCATTAAAGAGACTCACTTACTGCTTCTACATGTACCGTAGTTGAAGGAGGAGCTGGATACAGTGAGATCATCTCTGCTGCCAATAGTGGTGTCCTCTCCCATCCACCCTCACCCTCCCCTCCTCCTTTCACTCCTCAACGCTGATCTTAAACAGATGGAGGATGATGCCAGGTCCAAGGTATTCACACTACTAGTCTTCTTGCTGTGCCAAAAAATTCTTTGTGAATATTTCCGTGAAACACAATTTTACGATAGTGGCAGTTTTACAGTTTGTACCCATGGGCAGCATTCTACTGAATGAAATACTTGGCCAACTGAACCAAACAATCATGACCTGCAAATTTTCTACCTTACTGACACAGATGTACCATGATGTACCATGTCCCAGTGGTTCATAGATTGCTGACTGCTCCCAAAGTCTAGCTCCCCAGTTAATCCAAGAAGCCTTTCCACACAATCTTGTCTCTGACCTATTAACCTACCAGACTAACATGGACATACAGTGCTCCACTTTCCATATTTGCCTACAGTTCCCAAAGCCTGGCCTTCCAGTCTCGACCAAACCAATCCAAAAGTCTTCCCCCACAAAACTGTGTTTATATACTATTATCTACAGTATTTGCCTAGGTTACAAAGTTATTGTGCCACTGCTCACAGATTGCCTACTATTCCCGGACCCTGGCCCTCCAGTCTCGACTGACGGCCTCGGGCTCTCCAGTCATGAACCTAGACAGACTGCAGGCCGACAAGAGACTAGCAGAGAGTCACCTCACTACCTCCATGGAGATGAAATCGGTGGTGCTGTCCCTCACGAGTCAGTCTGTGGAGGACCACCTCCAGCCAGTGTCAGATGACCTGCCAGAGCTCACCAGCAGGTATCTGGGTCTACAGGAGAGACTGGGGGAGGCTAGAGACTCTGCCAACCACTGGTCCAGGAAAAAGGTCAGGGAGTAATGCGTTTTCATCCTGCATGGACTCTTTAGCTGTTGTGATTGTCTACCAACAGCTAGTGGGGTTTTCAACAGGAGTTTACTTTTGTGTTGCGTTTCGTTTTAGTAGTTGTATAAGTGCACAGTGTACTTTTATTGTTAAAAAACATATCCAACATTTGTTTAGTGTCCATCTCTAATAGTTAACATAAGAGCCATGCCTGCCAGCATGAAGCCTATAGAGCAGAGTACATGTACACGTAGACAATGCATCTTCTTCTCAGACAATGTCCCGACATGTAATTTAGTTTTTCCTTCCCATGTACTTGCCTTGCCTAAGTAGCTAATGATTGTGACTTGCTTTGGTTAGTATATTATAGTGACTCTGTGTAATGTTAGGTGCTGGCCCTGAGTGTGAGAGAGGCAATGGAGCAGGCAGTGGCGAGTCTGCAGGCAGGTCATGTGACTGCTGGGATGGACATCAGCATGCACGGGGGACGCTCCACTGATGGTATATAACCATACATGTTACACACTGAAACTGTGCACTTTAATAATACGAGTAAAGGAAGTGCATGCATTAATCTCCTGTGTACACAATAGTTAATGACGCACAGAGTACCAACACAATACAACAATAATATGCATGCATTCACGTATTTACAGCTAATGTATTATGTGTTTACTATAGTTCTCCCCGAGGCCTCCCACTATCAAGCCAAGGAAGAGTTCACCACCCTCAGTGAGAGAGTCAAACAAGTGAGCAACTAGACATCATATTGTGTAGTCGTCTCTATAATTATACCCACAATGTGAAGGAGCCTCAGGTGACACAAAACCTGGTCCTACAGACGTCACAATGTGATGCACACTAGTTCTGCTTACCAAAGTCAGCCGACTACAAATGCACGTGGCATTGAATAGTGACTGGAGATCTCGATTTCGAGATCTGCGTAGGATGGAGAAATTTTCTGTCACGAGTTACGAGACCCCTTTCCGCATGATGAGTGGGTGGGTATGGGGAATATTGTGGTGGTGTGTTCTAATTAGAGCCCTTCACTACTGGCAGCTCCTGGACATGGCTCACAGTCCAGCTGCTCGACTCCACAACTCTCTGGTTCAGACAGTCCAGATGAAGTGGTTCCCCGCCATGTGTAACGGCTTTGTCGTCATCTCTTCGGACATGACTCGCACTCTCCCTTCACCCAGGACAAGGTTAGAGACAAACAGTGATGTCTAATGCCACAACTAGTCCTAAGCTTCCCCCTAGCCCCTTACTATGAATGCACAATGTGGGACTACAACCGCATTGACATCAAATGTACTTCCCCCTTCTTCCCTTCCCTTCCCTCCCTCTCTCTCCCCAGGACTCAAAGTTGGCGACGTCACTTTAGTTTCAAGAAGACCCGAACTATGACCTCTCCTTCTTCACCCCCTCCCTCCAACATGGCCGAGGCTGGGAAACTCCTCCACATACGATTCCAAGAGGTTCATACACTACAGTACATCCAAGAGTATGCATTGGGGTGCACTACAAGAGTATGCATTGGGGTGCACTAGATATCCAACAACAGTGGTTTGAAAACTTGCTACTTTGACAGTTTGATTGGGGCACCCACTAGAGTTGTTCTCCGGATTGTTAGTGGTCACAATCAATGGGACGTGAAATCCATATCTTAGTGAAATGTGCTACCACGTTTTCTCCCTCAATTGCTTAGTTGTGCATCCCTTGAAGTCTAATTATTCAGAGCACATGAAAATCGGTGCCAATTTTGGGACTGATAGCAGTGTGTGGACAGCTGTACTATAGCAGCATCTGCACAATTCTTCTGTTGTACACATAAAGCTATACAAACAGCAAATGCTGGAAGCTAAGGTATCATGTTACTATAGTGAGGGAGTATTTGCCTGATGCTGTATTTGGACACACTTTAGATGGGCACACCTGAATTTGCTCCACATAGCTGAGCTGTGTGTTAATGCCAGTTACAAACAGTCAAACTTTCCTCGCAGATAGTGAGTGCATTGTGTGACCATCTGGCGGACCACGACACGGGGTTCACGCAGCAGGTGTGGCTCTGCTATGAGAACCTCTTCTTTGACAACTTCTCCTCCTCCTTTCTCTCTCACTATCAGGTATAATAATAATTATAGATATATCCTAACTATTTTGCTTGACAATATAAGCCATGTCGTTGTATTATTTTGAAGTTGAAGCAAAATGGCATAGTTCTCAGTATCAGTCACACGAAGGAGAACATTATGCAACTAGAGAATCTTTATATAAAGTACTCCCCACACGCCATACAAACACAAAAATACCACTATATTATACTACTGTGACTTACTCTGGCAACGGTAGATATTCCTCACTTTCATGGGAGAAAAACTCTAGCTATTCAAGATGTATTTTGCATGGATTGTGCTTGTCTGACTGTATATACAAAACAGTCTCACCCTACATGGCATCAAATATCACGCTTTCTTTGTTTCACATTCTCTCCCTTGAAATTTTATGCCTGTATGGCATAAACTATCCATTGCAGAGTGAGAATCAGAAGTTCTGTGAGCAGCTGAGAGTCAATGCTCTGAGTGTCAGTGTCCTCCCTCCCTCCTCTCTCTCCCTCACCACCCCAGAGACCATGTGGCTCTCTCTCTTTCCTCCTCGATCCTTCGGCGACGCCACACTCCTCTACACACAGTCCCTGGAGGACCCCGATGTAACCTCTGAACCACCTCAGTTGGCCCCAGGGCTCCAGGCCAAGTTTGGTCCTGTGGTGACTGATCTTTACTGCATGGCAAGGACGAGAGCTCCGCTGCATAAATTACAGCTACTGACGTCTGCCTTCCGTAAGACTATGGCCTCCCTCTCAGCACTGAAACTGCAATCTCTCTTAGAAGAAGGTGACTCGTTGTGTGTGTTTTTTGTGCATGTATGTTTTGTAAGCTCAGTGCAAGAAAAAACTGTTTAGGACATTTTTAGGCAGAGGGCTAATGGCGGTCATAATATTGTTTCTGGTCCCTAAATCAACCACACTTTGTTTCAAACCTCCACAACTTAGTACTCCCCACGCTGCCTATAATACCAGACTGGAGGTTGTTTGCACAGTTTCAATATCAGCTTCCCTTTTTTGCTAAAACCTTTTTGTAATTAATGCCACTTTGGGACGTGTCCTTCATATGCTAATTTTACACCAGAGAGGTATATTATATAAGGTAATAATTATGATTCCATTTCCGACAGGTAGCACAGATTTCCACCTGGCAGGAGTAAGTTGTGACGACCTCCTGCCATTGCTAGTCCTCCTCCTCCTCCAGCTACCCCCAGCCTTCCTCTGCCAACTGTGGCTACACTGTCTTCTACTGGAGGACTGTTGCCCTACCTTCCTCCAGGCTGGCTGGCACGGGTACTCCCTCACCACCTTTCGCTCTAGTCTAACTGTCATCTCTGAACTCTAAGAGCAGCGCCATCATTCACTGTCTTTTCACACACGAATCAGGTATTACACATGTGTAAGAGGCGTTATGTAAAAATATTCCAGCAAGAATCGAAATCGCAGCATCAGTGTTGCGTTCGGTTTATGAAGGCTGACCGACACCGCTTCGCTAACTACGTGGAGTGACTGGCCGCCATGTGTGTGTCCTTGCAAACTCATGCACAAGTCGAAAACGCATGCGTGAAATAAAGTGGCGGACGTGAGGAAGCTCAAGTTGTGATCAAAGCCTATTATTCACTCTCTTCACAAATGAATCAGGATGTTTCAAAGTGCATAGTCTGGTGAATATGATAACGATTGCGTTGTGATCTAGCATTAAGTGTGTATCGTCTGTGGTGTGTAATGGCCCAAAAGGGACTGTTGCAGGGTTGGCATGAAAGTGTGTTTATCACCCCCAAAAAACGGTAGGACGAAAACCAACCACTACTGCACTGACTTTTTCCCCCTCCAACCAAACGATATTCTATACACACACACACACTCGTGGTACACAAGAGCAAGTAACAAGATGCCAGCCTTGAAAACTGAGGTAGCGGTTAGCTATAATGATATCTACATAGCATGATTAATCCATAACCAACTTCCACTCGAGTTCTCTGAACATTAAAAACTGACATCATTACTTTGTATTGTTACAGACTACTCAGGTGTTGGTTTTCTAAGTGTTTTGGCTATGTTTGCTATGACTGTTTGTACATGGTATAATGGGATGAACAGGGAGTATGCTGTGGTGTGTTCAATGCTCATGGGGGCTGGTGGTACGCTGGGTCTTGGCAGGTCGTGAACTCATCCATTCCTCTCCCTCTCCTCCTCCTCCTCCTCCTAGTTTATTGTCAAATAGTACTTTAACAACACTGTTGGCGAGTGAGTGCCCTCTAGACCACCGCTTCCATATGGTAGCAGTAGGTCAAAGAAGGGGTGTAATAGGCAAAGGGACAGTAAAATTAAGGCAAGAGAGGAAAAGGTGCAGCGAGATAGAGTACGTTCTATTCCATACTCCAACTTTAGTCAAAGCATTTAGGATATTTAGTTTGTTTCTTCTTAAACTCAAGTGGCTACAAAAGCGTTGACACCCTCATTTGGGGGGACAGCAAAATTTGGGCAGATAGGAAAAGGTGCAGTGAGATAGAGATACTACTATTCCATACTCCAACTATAGTCAAAGCATTGAGGATAGTTTGTTTGTCTCTTCTTAAACTCAGGTGCCTACTAAAAATGCAAAATCGTTGACACCCTCATTTGGGGGGATGGCGATATTAATGGGCAAGATAGGGATTGGTAAAGCGGGATGTCGATAAAACAGAGTATGTATCTATACTCTAACTGCAGTCAAGGATGGTTGGTTTGCCTCTTCTTCCTTACACAACACTGTACCTCTGTGGCTATGCTGAACAGGCAAAACTAGGCTAATTCGCTTTCCGCTTACGTTTAATGCTATAACTCTCAAACATTCACCCGCCGCTTAATGTGAGTTCATTATAATATGGTGCAATAGGTGAGATTTTGAATCACAGACAGACACAAAGACCAAGTATATACATTAACACCCTCGTGCCCACGCCAATGAGAGTTTATTAAAAACCTTAGTTAAATTCACACACCACGAATTGTGCATGCTTCACACATTACATGGTCTTAGAATTAGCCATTGTCTATTACACAAGTAAACAGAATACACAGCCCTATTACCAGAGCAGAGGTGATGTGCTCACCTTTCTGAGTCCTCTTCTTCCCCTTGCCTCGTCCGCGGCCAGCCCTGCCGTCCACTGACCCATCTCCTCCGGCCAGCATGTTTCTGAAGAGATGGAGAGGAGTCCAGCCATCCCTACCCACCTCCCATCCCCCCTCTCCCAGCCGCTCCTGCAATTAGGATTAGTAGCAATCATGGTTTTAAATGAGTAGTATGTCAGGGACACAGTCAAGATTAATAAAACAGCCCTAAATGTAGCCGCCATACTACCCTTAGCATACAGTTTTTTCTCTATGGTACAACTCATTCACTACTACTTTGCCTACTATTGGCAGACATAAAAATCACTGAAATTCTGCACTCGCATTCGCTCAAGCTCACCAATAATGCCTCTCATCTAATTCACTAGTGGCGATTACGTTCTTCTTGTACGTAAGTCACTGAAATTTTGCGCTTATGTTAACTCAAGCTCACTTTTGCATTACAGTGAATAGAACTTGAGGTACAACCAAAACGACTGTTATAGACTGACCTGTAGATAGACAAGAACTCCTTTCTTGCCAGTCCTGTCGACATCCAGTAGACGATTACTGAACTCTCCCAACACCGACAGGAACTGAATGTAGGGGGGAGGAGCTCCGGGGGTGTGGTCTTCCGGTCGAGTGAGGGCAAAGTTTATACCTTCCCTGCATGGTTGATGGAGAACCTCAATGCCATGATGCACAATACAACTTTGTTCTGTGACAGAAAGCAGCATATGGGCACCAAGGCCCATACATATGCAACTTTGTAGCAACTTCTGATATGTGACAACAACGACGTAGCAAGGCAAAGCAAACACGCCAACTGCACCCAAGACCCAAGGAAAAAGAAGAGCTGCCCTCCTCAAATATTGTAGGGCATACAGTGGATCCTCTATTTAAAGCACACCATGAATTTCGTTTTTGAGGAGTGATTCGAACCTGTGAATGCCAACCAGCATCTGTCGGGTCGAGGCCTTGAGCTGATCAAAACTGAACGGGAGGGAGTACCTCCGAGCCAGGTCCCTCAGATCGGCCCACTGGGGGTCAGTGAGGTCCACGGTTCCCCCTCCCTCCTCGACCAGCCTCAGGAACACCTGCTGGAGGGAGAGGGCTATGGTCTTGTACCACTGGGTTGGCTGTGCCTCTCTGCAACGAGCCAGCGCCATCTTCAACAGGTCTCCAAAGTGGTGGTAGTGCTACAACAGAAAAGCAAGATGGAATAAAACACAATCTAGAATGTCAGCAATTACACACGGATTATTCAGTACACAGCAGTGTTATATCTAATAGCAAATATTCAGCAGAAATTCACACAGCAGTATTGGCACAACGTGTAGTAGTGTGTTGTGTACTATAAACAATGGACTCACTTTGACATACTGGGCAAAGACAGGAGCTGCAACTTTCATATCCACAGACCCAAAGAGGACCAATTTGAGGAAGCCTGCCAGCTGGACGCGGCGGTCGTTGAGTCTCTCTGCTATGGCCACTGCCTCAGACTCGGTGCTCGGCTCACTCCCCTCCTCCTCCTCCTCCCCTCCTCCCTCTATCACCTCCACCACCACATAGTCCTGGAGCCAAGCAAATTACCGTATGTAATCCTATCATTTTAGGTGCTACTAAATAGTAATAGTGTATACTACATATAATGGTGAATACCTGAAGGAGCTGTTGAAGACCAGAGTCAGGGACATATGCCAGAGCTCCCAGCTGGCCACAGGCTCTCAGCTGTCTACCAAACACCACCAGAATATCGCAGAGAGTCATGTAGGCCTCCCTCATGACGGGTCTGGCTCCTCTCATTAGTAGGTCACGACAGCAGCGGAGGGTGCGGGTGAACCGAGACTGCAGGTCTCTGAGACTGTCCTGGGGTTGGGGATGAGGGGGAGGAGGAGAGAAGACGGAGGTAAAAGTGAATGAGGGAGAGGGAAAGGGGGAGCGAAGAGGGAGAAAGGGCAGCAGGGGCCAAGAGAATTGGGAGAGGGAAGAGGAGAGAAAGATCGGTTCACAGTACATCGTTGGATTCTTTAACGAGACATGTGTGATGATATCACAAGGCATTGTGTGGGAACAGAAACTACTAAATTCCTGAGACATTGCGTGACATGTCGTGGAGTGACAAATGTGAAACGATTCTTAATGGTGCAGAATGCCCACAATACTCCTGCAACTTCACATTGCATTGTGTCACAGACTACTACATGTACTATGGCATATTGTGAACCGGTGAAGGAAAACAGTGTGTAGCAGGAATAACAGAGTGATAGGGGCTCACTCTTGAGGGACTAGTTTCATCCATGGTTGCCAGACTCCACTGGAGGTCTAGTCTCAGTACGGCCACCACTGAACACATCACCTGAACACCGGCAGAAAGGGAGGGAGAGAGAGAGAGATCAGTAAGACTTTTTACTAACAGTATGAGAGAATAGAGAAAGAAAATGACAGGTTCAGAAATTAGACCAAAAATTGATTCAGAATTAAATTGGAAAGGAGGGAAGAAAAACACGACAGCACACATTCAGAGGTTTATAATTATTAGTGAGTGAAAGGTTGAAATACTGAGGGAGATCTGGGAAATAACAGTGGTGGGGAAAATGAGAGGGGCGAAGGAAGGGAAGGGAAAATGAGAGACAAAGGAAGATTAAAGAAAACGAGGGGAAGGTGGAGAGATGAGGAGGCGATGATGACTGACTCTATCGGGGACGTGTCCATCAGCTGCCATATCCACCAGACCAATCAGTAGCTCTGGTAGAGACCACTGAGATAAGTCCCTCACTCTGGGGAGAAGAGAGAAGAGAGGAACACACAGTAAAGGAGGACCCTATACTGGGGAAAGATAGTAAATGAGGTAGTAGGCAAGGGTAAGAGAGAAAAAGGAAAAGAAGGCCAGAAGAGAGAGAGAAGACAGGGACAGAGAGGTACATACATATATGAATTGTAGGGGGAAATTAAGATGGTGTGAGACAAGTAGTCAGAGGTTTACTTAGCAAAGGCAGCAATCCTCTCCAGAGACACAGCCAGCCCAATGGCCTCTTCTGAATCCTCCTCATTCTGTGGTGACATATGTATGTACATTACCACGTCATGACCATATATAACAAATGGGTGAGTTTCTTTTACCGGTCAAATTTGTGAAAAATGATAGGAGTTGAATTACAGTGTGTGTATCTGTTACTTATGCTTTTGCTGTGTTAAGTCGTAGTGCAGCATAAACAGTGAGCTTCTTTTAAGCAGATATTTTACCGGTCAAATTGGTGAAAAATGATAGCAGTCTTTGCGTCTATTGTATGGACCATCATACCCATACATTGCCTCATACAACACATCGACAGGCACACATGTCTGTCAACGATGAGGTAACGAGGTAGAAAGGCAAGGCAAAGGAAACAAGTCAACTACACCCAGGACAGCTCTTTCTTTTCAAGGAAGAACGAAGAGCTGCCCTGTGTAGGTGGGATTTTAACCCACGACACTCTGCTGTCTAGGCGAGCGCTCTACCAACTGAGCTACCAGGGCAACTCAGCTGGTAGGGGTTTGAATCTACAACACAACACAAGACAAAGGCAAACCTCAAACCACTGTGCTATGGCACTCAGTTTGTATGTGTTGGACACATTGACATGTACGTACAATGGGCTGATCCTGACAGCCTTCAAGGTGGGTCTTGAATGTCTGTATTAGTTCATCCATCAGTTGATTAAAGGCCAACTCCTGCACAACAAACACACACGTACATACACATGTATCAAACACTGCACAAGGACTATAACAAAGCAAAAGTAAAGGCTAACTCTTGTAAAGAGTGAGCCAGCATATTAAACTGTGGTATCTTCCATACGTACATGCAAGAACTCCCACAAGTGTATTTCACTACAGTCGTGAATATTACTAGGTATTGCAGACATAAGGCTCGCACAGTAAATAACATTGTGTAAGGCTCTGAGTACACTGACGTTGATTGTAAAGTCTGACCTTCGTCATCCGCGACGACAAACGTACCATGCACATGTACACACCTCACCCCTCGCATACATGCATAGAAGAGCGTGACGGACAAATATACACTGACCGAGCTGCAAAATTAGGTGCCTCGCTCGGCAATGATACACTACACATAATATGCAGACAATAGTTATATACATGGTGAACCAATAGTGGTTGTCATTGAGAGACGTACAGCAGTGGAGTGTAGGCTGAATTCAGGGTCACACAGACAACGGAAGGTCTGCGCTGTCTCATCAAGAGTCTGTAGATCACAAAGCATCATTCATCATATACTATCGTACAGTGGTCTCAGATGGTACATTCATAACTAATCACATTAGCGTCATGTAGCTGGTCTTACTGAGGAGTCCATGTGCTTCGTGACCAGCTGATGTAGGTGCTTTAGCAGAGCCTCAAGATGCTATATATAACAATAGGACAGAACACATAGTGATGTAATGGAAAGAGAAGAGTGAAATGAAGGGAGGAAGCAAGTAAAGAGGGAGAGGAAGAGAAAGAGAGGAAGAAGACTGTCTCACTTTCTGCAGGCGGTGCTCAGCATAGAGCTCCAGATCAAAGGCTTGAGGAATGTGTGCCAAGTTGCTGGCTTGCTCAGGTACTGACCCAAACTAAAAAAATACAGGAGAAAGATGCTTTACCACAGAGCAGAAAAGAGCATTAAGGGAGCTACAAAGTAGGACCTATAGTAGGTAAAAACTATTAGAGAGTTTGTAAAAAGTGAGAAAAAAAATTGGTCCATGTGAGTCTCGAACTCACGACCTTCGCGTTATCAGCACGACGCTCTACCGACTGAGCTAATGGACCAGTTGCTCCGCTAAACTAGACATTTTGCTATTCATACCTTGGATATAAGGTCTGGTAGGGTGACCATTAGAGCTGTGCTTAGTTGCGTCCGCTCTTCCACGATGGCTCTCCGCTCTTTATTCGTCACGACCTGCGATGGGTGTATAACGCTGCTTCAGTGCAAATAAGGGCTAGCTTAAGTAAACATGACATTGTGACAATTGTGGAGAAGGCAACATTGTCTACAGGAATGGTGACATGCATGAACAAGTGGTTATGTTGAGCTGTTGGCATAACAACACCAGCATTTAAAATTGAATCTACACTCTCTTGTTCAGAGGTTCCAGTGTGCACTAAGAGAGAGGAGTGCGCCTGGCGTACATATATACATACTTTAGTTGTCTCAATACAGATGAACACCTCTGTTTAAATGACACGCTGGGACACGTGTACAGTGTCCAAATAATAATGGTTTAAGTTGCATGCAAGAGCTATTTTTGGGAGGGGGAAGTGTCCTTATTACCCTCATTTCAGGGGTGTCCTTAGAGACGGTTTTACAGTATAGTTGATACTCTAACCTTTCCTTTGGTCCTGGCAGGAGGCACACCAGTGCCCACGGCTCTGCGAACAGCACAGACCAGGATCTCAATGAGGGCTGCCTCTTCCGCTCCGGTCAGAACGATGCCTGCCTTGTCGTCCAGCAGTAGACCCACCATAGCTTCCCAGTCCTGCATGTGGGAGGTGAGGTGGTCCAATAGAGAGGGTGTGCGGGAAGGAGGTGGAGAGTGGGGTGGGGAAAGAAAAGGAACAGTTGATATGTGATATGTGGAAATAAGTTAATTGGCGTGCGAAGCGAGCCTACCATCTGAATGCAGGAACTTATTGTATATGTGACAGGCACTGCACATACCGTCATGTTCTAAATACTGTATACGTGAAACGTGCAAAAATTCAAACTGCAAAACTAGAAAAATTTTGAATGTGGTAGGAAGGAGAAAAGGGCAGGGGTGAGAGGGTGAGGGAGAGGGAAAAAGAGAGGGGGGGTTAGATAGAGGGGAAGGAGAGAGGAGAGAGAGGGCGTTAAGCAGATAAGACAGATGGTAGGGAGCTAAGAGCCTCACCCTGAGAACGTCAGTGTTGTCCCAGAGACTGTCAACAAAGTAAGTGGCGTGTTGGTGAATGTTCACCTCCATAAAAAACCTAACCAGCTCAACCAGTTTGATCTGGGCGTCCACTGGTTTCTTGTGGCCTATATAGTCAGAAACACTTTCTTCAGTCACTGTCAAAAGTCTACATGACATAGGGCATGTGCCGTAAGGTATTTTTGCTGCCATAAAACATTTCTATACAGCTTTAGCAGAAACTCATGTGTTTCACTAATCACTATCACTCTCTATGATTAAACGTATATGCCATGACAAATATTGGACCTATGGTTTGTATTTGAGTCTGGATGAGAATGAAAATCATTTGACAGCTGAACATGCACACGTTCATCTTTTACAAACAGACGACACACTACATTCAGTGAACACACTGGTACCTTGTACATACCTTCTCGGATACTATGGGAATGACGTCTTAAACAGTTGTTATCTTTTACAAACAGATGACATACGCACACACTACACATTCATGAACGCACTGGTACCTTTGGGGACCTTTGCCCCTCTGGCTCGGGTCATGAAGTCATCTGAGAAGAGATAGCGAGTGGCAAACTCTGCAGCCGTGTGACTAACACTGCGACTCTCCACAAACATCAGCTCACACACCTGATGACAATGTTGCAAAATGTTTAGAAAGTGTGCTAAAATATTTTTCTCTAACGCCAGTATATATACTGAACACTTCTCGAAAATAGGTTCTTTCAAAAGCAGATGTGGCCTGAGACACACTAATAATAACAGATACTGTAGAATGATCGTGAAAGGTCTATGAGCGTTAGACTACGTTCATGCGATGTCACAAAGATGTAGCAACTTGACGCGATTGAGGCTAGGTTCACAATGTTACCAAGGCAAGGTGACAGGGTGAGGGAGAGGGAAGAAAGAGGGTTGGCCGTACGCGTGTGAAATTTCGCCAAGGCTAGTGACTTGATGTGAGAGGCATGAAGTTTGTCGTATTGTGAGGATAAGATCATTGTGGCACATTGGTGCAATGCAACACGTTGCAAACCTAACTTAATCACAACCCACCCAGCGATAATTGTGATGTACACTACTGTATGTACATCATATGTATGAGTGTACAATTGTACCTCGACACAGTCTTCTGGCTCCAGGAGGTCCAGTTTGAGGAGATGACAGGCCAGCCGAATGGCCTTCACACACACTGAGTCCTCCTTGTCCAGTCTCATGGACAGCAGCCTCTCCTTGAACCTCTGAGTGAACAACTCCAAGTGGGGCGCCGTCTCCTCACTGTTGTACAGACTCTCCAGTACCGAGACACTGGCCAGTCGGACCTCTCCAACCTGCAGTAGGGACCAGCTATTTCTTTGACTCTCTCGGATTTCCTTACCCCCTCTCTTTCTTCCTCCCTCTTGCTATTTCTCGCTCACTCCCTCTCTCACATCTACCCTATCCCACTTTCTTCTCATCATCTACACTCACTTTTTCTTTCACACATTAATTTGGTTGCTCACATACACATACATACATAATATGTACATACACTACCTTGTCATAGAGACACCAGCCGAAATATTTCAAGAATATGTCAGCAAGAAAATGAGCCCTGAAAATAGAAGATCAAATTACAGAAGTGATACATACATTATACAGACAGACAGACAGACAGACAGACAGACAGACAGACAGACAGACCTGTACTCCATCATCCAGACTCCAAGTTCAGAGAGACATAGAGCTCTGATCTCTGGCCTCACGTCGCGGTAGCGGTGGACAAAAACACTTGAGAACACTCCCTTCATGGTGTCCCTCATCTCCACACTGCGCCTCTGCAACTGCAGAGGTTCCATTGACAGTAAGAGCGTGTGCCCATATAACTATCAGACAAGCACTTTTCATGCTATCTATATATGTACTAGTGTAGCTAGCCTGTGTCAAACTCTCCGCAAGCTACTAGCATGGAGACCACAAATAAATTGACATACCATAGCCTAGCCCGTTATAGCGGAACCTATGCATGCATGGGTTCAACTTTTCCAGTGAGCAAAGGGTTTGGACCTTAGTACACACTGATGCAGTATACCAGTAGTTGCATCTAAGCTATTTGTACTCGTGGTCTCCCGCTGTAGCTCGCGGAGAGTCTGACACAGGATAGTTACAGTAGTAGATAGCACGCGGGAGTCGATACATGCCATACGTTGTGACTTCCTGAGCCCCCAAGGTACACAAAGCGAGCGGATCAGGTCGCGGTAAGCCCATGCCATGGCGCCAAGGGTTAATCATTGTATATGTACCTCAGCTCGTTTTGTCATGAGTTTATCCAATTTCCCAGCAGCTCCTTTCTTTGCCTGCTGTCGCTTCTTCTCAGCATCAATCTGGCGCTATTAAATAAGGAAGTGTGTGTTCACGGAAAGAGCATGGTAAACAAATGGGACGGAATGAGTGAGAGAGAGACATGGAGAAGGAGGAGGGAAGAAGGATAGGTGAAAATAACCTGTGTATTGTCCAGTTCAGTGGTCACAGAGTTAGCCACATGGACCAGTGCTGTCACCAACTTCATACCTGGACACACAATAAAGCAGTGAACGAGAAACCAGCAAGACAACATTCTATCATCCATAGTAGTGCAATGCATCTTTGGAGAGCAGTTTGATTGTTTGTGTGAAGCTAGCAGTTTGTGTGTTTCACACGTACTTAGAATGACGTATCATATACAATACATAGGGATGACACAGGTTGTCCTGCACTATACCTTGAGATTGTAGGTTTTTTATATATATATTTTTATTTAGAATGACGTATCATATACTATACATAGGGATGACACAGGTTGTCCTGCACTATACCCATACATTTGAGATTTGTAGGTTTTTTATATATATATTTTTTTATTTAGAATGACGTATTACATTACAGTATGTGCAGTGCCCGATGGGCTGTACGTTACACACACATACATATACACTGTATATAGAAAAGCCTACATTAGGCAGCTCGCTTTGCTCGCCAATAACAAAGCAATAGGCACATGTACACGTGCATATCAAGTTTCCAAGTAAACTATGGAGAGACATCACAGGCGAGGGTGCAGGTGTGTCTGAAGGCCCTCACTTGAGAGTCAGTGAACCCCACCAGCCATATGATGAGGGTGTCCAACATGTACTCGTCAAACAGAATGCCGTGTTGACACTGCTCCACTATCCTCTCCATGAACTCTGAGAATGAAGACTGGAAAAGAGAAGAGAGAGGGAGGGATGTGTACATATAGGGTTAGGGCTTTTTAGGTTGACTGAATATATACTAAGTTGCCTGATAGCCTGACTAGCGGCAGGAGGGGAGAGAGGAGAGAGGGAGGGAAGATGTAGGGCTAGCTTGACGGAAAAATGTGTGTGCTTGATAGCCATCATATTACTAGGAATGCGCACGTGCATATTTTGCCTCGCGCCTGCCAGCCAATGCGTAAACAGTCCGACTGAGGCCGCTCGTGCGCGCGCTCTACTGACTGCGCGCGAAGCCAGACTACCGAATCTGCACGCACGGCGGAAGCTAGACTTCCTACGAATGACGGAAGTTACACTTCCTTTTGGTGACTAATTGACATTCCTAAGCGTGACTAATTGACGACGTACATACGCATATCGCGAGAATACAACCCGGAGTAGTTGCCTCACGCTAACGCGCTCGGCAATGAAGTTGCATGCAACTTTGTCTCATGCTTCAAAGTTGCATCTTGTATCACGGCCTTGACTTCACACAACTATTGCAAGTTCCTGTGTTAATGTGTCTGAAATCAGTGTTCAGGGGTAGAGGGGAAAATGGACTAGTGACAAAATGGTGCAACCAACGGGTCTGTGATTGAGGCACCGAAAAGCAGGGGAGACCATATTATCAAACTTTTAAAGCAGATTCAATTTTTTAAAGCTAAGTGCAATTGAGCAACACTTCAGTAACTCAATTTTGAACAGCTATGTGTATTCACCATTGCCTATTAGCTCCTTCCCTATACCCCGTAGTAGTGTAAGTAATGCACCTTAACCTTTTTGAAGGATGCTCCAGTAGCAATAAGAGGATAGTCACCACTCTCCTGTAATAGCACATCATCACACACGTGTACACAACTCCACACAGTACACATACACATACACATACATACATCCATAAAGTGATACTTATAGTGACAAAACTTATGCAATTGTGTCAATCTCTTGTAAAGGGTCTGTGCATGCTGACCACTATCATGCCGTCATATCAGAGGTTGGATTGCATGCAAGAAACGTTCTTTAGTGATAGAAATAAACAGTGTATATACTTCTTAGAGAGGGGTCCTAATCTTCAGGGGTGTTCTTAGACAGCGGTTCCACATAATATTACCTCATCAAAATTCTCTGTCAGTGAGCGAATGATACTCGTGGTCTCTTCGTTCTGGAACGTCTCCATGGTGATGGTTGCCCGGCAACCACAGCAGTGTACGAAGAACTGAACCAGCTCCACCATGGCGGTCTCTGAGGAATCTTGGTAGCGATCCACCCACTCACTGGCCACCGCCTGTGGACAGAGGAGACATATGTACACACCTCAGAGACTTTTCAGAGCACTTTCATCCCTTAATCTTTTCAGCATGCAACTAGTATATATAGATTCCAAAATGTTATTATGTATTGTGCATCGCTGCGTGCGTAAGAAGTGCTGGAGTCACATGAGAACAACAGCTAGACAGCAACAAAACCCGTTAATTGCATGCTTCTTACATTACAGACTAAAATGAAAAGCACTAAAGTGCAAACCCTCGGCGAACTGCCGTCCCGCGCGATCTACTATAAAAAGACACTAAAAAAAAATATGAACACTAAAAGGCACCTTCAAGCGCAATACTATTTAATAAGAGCACACTGAAAACATAGAACAACGAAACAGACACTAAAAGAAAAGTCAGAAAAAAAATACTATACACGCGCAAAAAAGAAGAAAAGGACAAAACAAAAGAAAACGTCCCAGAACACGCCCCATAAACTAACTAATAAAAAGATAAACCCGTGCAAAGGTCAACCAGGCTCGATGGAAAGAGCAGGAATAGTAATCAAAGAGTGCCTGAGTAAAAAAAAACAGCGAACAGAAGAAGCTGTAAAACTAGGATATACTCGTAGTGGCTTCTCTAATTTGCCAACGCCAAAAGGGGGAGATGAAAAAGCTCACTGGCACCTCAAGTTGAAAGAATAGACCGAAGCAAGCTCAGACTAAGATTGAGGAAAGCTACGTCTTGCGTGCGCATTAATACAACTCAGTGGACATATATTAATCGTCTCCTAAAAAAATACTCAATGGCAGAAATTAGCAAAAAAAAACCCTCTCACTAAAACGATTAGTCAACTAAACTCACATGACTGATATTAGTGCTTACTGACCGAGGGCCTTATGAAATAAAAGGGGAGAGACCTCAGGGGGCGGAGGGACACCTGAAGTCCGTGACTAACTAACTAGAAAGAAAGTGAGGCGTATAGTAGAAAAAGTGGTGAACGGTGAGGTAACATAATTGGGCACAATAAACTAATAAACACTGGATGTGTCTGGGGCTTCTAATTGTGTTTACTCGCGGTCTCACCCTCTAAGATAGCAAATCGCGGAGAGTCTGACCGGCTAGCTACGGTAGTAGATATCATGCGGGAATCGATATACACCCTTCACTGTGGCTTCTTGTGCCTCCAAGGTACATACACAGAGCAAGCGGATCAGGTCGAGGTGAGCCAGCATACTGCTGCGTTGATCGCGTCAAATACACGCATGCGCACCTCTTATTGATGGGTTGGGCCACGCAACCCTGTCCGCGACCGTGCTAGTTTGTCGCTCTCGAAAGCAGTCGTTTCAGCAAAATTTCCAATTTCAGATTTCTAGCCCGTGTACCGCTGTTGGTCATAAGCCGCCTCGTAGCCTGTAGTGCGAGAATGATCGTAGACACACAGACACACAGAACGACTACTGTAACCCTCGCTGCGCATGCGCGCCGAGGGTTAATGAGTTCCTACAAATCCCAAATACTGCCTTCCTGGTCCCACACTCGCCTGCAGAGCACTACGACCACAGAGAACTGCAGCAAACATCCCACCATCTTCCTCCTCGTCACTGGCCACTCTCTGCACCGGCGACTTCTGCGCCTTCTTCTTTGGAGCTGGTGCCTGCATGTGATCATTAGGGGTTAATGCAACTTGATGTTCTCCCAAATTTTATAAAATTTGGTCAGCAGGGATAGTTGTATAGGTTACCCTGGCCTCCGCAGGAGCCTTTCTCTTGCGAGGAGCACTAGCCACCTCCATCTCCTGGCTCTCAAGAGACGTCTCTAACCTCTGGACTGGCGGCGGCCGCTCCCTCAGATTCCATCTCTGCGGGATGAAATTTGAATCATGTGCGGGCTTATCTGGGCTTACCTTTCCTCTCGCAGGAGGAGTTGCGTTTTCCTGGGTGGACTGATCCCCCTGGGACGTCTCGTTCACCGATTCCTCCATTGGAAACCGAAAAAGCAGAGAAAACTGCAGCGCCTGTCTATTCCAATTAACGCACACCCTTCCCGCCCGCTGCCGGTGAGCATGCGCAGTAGTGACATAATTCTAATTAACGCGCAGCCTTAAAGGCCCGATTTCCAACGACGTCATCTTCGTAACGTGGCGCTGTGTAGCTTGAGACACAGAGAGAAGGGATCCCTGAGGCAGACATGGCCGCCTGTGTGAGACTCTGCTTGCTACTGGCCGTCTTATCGTGGGCTGAAGCCTTCTACCTCCCGGGTCTAGCCGCCACTAACTTCTGCGAGGAGGAAGTCAAGGAGAAACATTCAAGGGAACGTGCAAGGTTAGT